ACAAATACTCAATATATTAATGGAGAACTCTATTTTATTTTATAAAAATACTTCACTAAAAATATGACTTTTTGTATGTGAAGGACTTATAATGTTAACCAAAAGTGTGCTAAATTTTGTGAAGATATACATACTATATTGAAAGTTAGAAGTATTAAATCTATAAAGACTTTAAATGAGTAAAAAGAAGAGACGTGGTCAGTCTGTGTTGATCAAGTTATAAAGATCTAGAGCACTCATATGTTTGTGTATTGGGCAAACCTCGCACAATCAAATTTTTCGTGTTTGGCAAATAAGTGGTTGCTTTTATTTTTGCGTGTATAAGTGAATCCACGTTAGACAAACCCACGTTGTAGGAGGGTTTATTCTACTTGTACAAGTGATAGAATTATGATTATATGAACTTAAGGCTCTTGGTTAGAAAACTTTAACCTTTCTTTTACCCTAAAAAAGAAAGACAAACTAATGCATACACTAGAAAACTTAAACTATGATTCTTGGGGAATTTTCAAACTTTATACCATGAAAATAAAACAAAAACCTACACATATACACACACACACACATTAGAAAATGCTTATTTCTAGATCTGTATTTTTCACTGTTTATTTTATAATCTTTTCTTTACCTAAGTCTTCCACACACACATTATAAAATAAACAATGAAAAATACAGATCTAGAAATAAGCATTTTCTAATCTTTTTTTTACCTAAGTCTTCCACAGAGGTGTCTTCTTTCTCTCGTCTTATTTCTTTTTCCATTGAGATAACATACTTTCTGTCAAACTGTCGAAGTTGGACCAGAACCAGTTCATCATACGGCTCATAGCAAAAAAGTACCTCAACGTCTTTCTGTTTCAGTCCCTCAAAATAAGGTGATGTTTCAGCTAAATGACGACTGAGTCAACCCATAAAAAAATGAAACAAAATGTCAAATGTCTTTAATGAAAATTTTATTTTATATAAGAGACAGTTTTGTAAGACATTGAAATTCACATTGGAAAACATCAATAAAGTATATCTTTCTTACATTTAGGGCTCATTAAGTATATTTTATTACAAGTTACAGTTTTTACAGTAAGGAATATTATATTTTATAACGTAGAAACTCCATTATTTGGTACTTTTGGCCACTTTTTTACATCACGTAGAACAACATGCCATAGTCACTTCCATATATAAACCTGTATTCACCTGTCCAGATGAACAAACAAAATTTACACAACAACCTACAGAAAGATGTATAATTCACAGAACTTAACTACAGGATGAATTTTTTAAACATTAACTTCACTACTAAAATCCATGGAGAAAAACACATACAGCTGAAAGAACATAAACTAGTTTTCTAACCATGTAATCTCACCAGAAGCTCTCTAAAAAGCCTCATAAACCTAGCACACACTATAAGCACCACAGAAAGCACTGATGAAGAAGTTGCACACTTAACTGAATGTTTTACTAACATTAACCAGTTCTGTACTAACGTAGTTACAGAAACTATTAATGAACTTAAAAAAAAACAAAGGAAACCTAATCTCTTGCACTATCACATATATAGAAAATATCAGCATATTTCTATCAGGATTTTGGAAAAGACATAAATTTAACCATAACACAATGCCTAGAGTCATTTTCACCCATCGATTGAAAACTAAACATGTTAAGAAAATTATATAAAGAACCCACCCTACCAGGAAACATTTACAAAATAAAGTGTAACTGTTGCCCAGCCTTTTACATAGGTGAAACAGGATGTAACTTGAAGACCACCAGAAACCCCTTTCTCAAGTCCATGAACATCACAGTACTAACACATGAACCTGACATTAACATCATAGTACTAACACACGAACCTGACATTAACATCACAGTACTAACACACGACCCTGACATTAACATCACAGTACTAACACACGAACCTGACATTAACATCACAGTACTAACACACGAACCTGACATTAACATCACAGTACTAACACACGAACCTGACATTAACATCACAGCACTAACACACGAACCTGACATTAACATCACAGCACTAACACACGAACCTGACATTAACATCACAGCACTAACACAGAACCTGACATTAACATCACAGCACTAACCACATTATAATTTATTACAACTACACGGTAACTAGATATTTACTTTATTTTGATTCCAACACATTATAATTTATTACAACTACACAGTAACTAGATATTTACTTTATTTTGATTCCAACACATTATAATTTATTACAACTATACAGTAACTAGATATTTACTTTATTTTGATTCCAACACATTATAATTTATTACAACTACACAGTAACTAGATATTTACCTT